GGGGGGCGGGGGGGGAGGATGAGGATACATTACAGCAGGGACTCAGACACCCAGTTTTTATGGCGGTGCTGGGGGTGGTAAAGGATGGTAGGAGGGTCTCAACCTCCCCACAGTTCTGGGTACATTTACTGGGGTAACAGGACCTAGTGGGGGTGTCAACGGAAACCAAACACGTACCTATGGCAGGGATCACACATGGGTTAGCCGGGGGGTTCACAACAGGACCCGATCTGGGTATTTCCGCATGGGGGAGGGAGGGCCCCAGTCTAGGTATTTCTGGGGGGTTCCCCCCTCAGAAGGTGAGGGGTGAAGATAACACAGGGTGAATAATACCACCAAGGGTGTTTCTCTAAATAGGACCAGGCCTGGGTATTTGGGGTGGGGCGATGTGGGTCGTGGGGGAGAGAATATCCCAGGGTGAGGAATATCATGGGGTGGGGTTTCTGAACAGGATCGGGTATTTTGGGGGGGGGGGGTCAAGGATGCGTGTCCCACTGCAGAGGGAGTATCCTGGGGTCTCACTCAGGGGTGTTCCTATGGGGAGGAAGATCCTGGCCCTGGGAGAGGTGCATCTGGGAGGTATGGGGGGGGTGTCCCCAAGACACTGGGTCTGTCTCACTCATATTTCCGCGGGGGGTCCCAGTCCATGGGCCACACGGGGGCGGGGTCAACATAAGAACGGCCCTGCTGGGTCAGACCAAAGGTCCATCGTCCGACAGTGGCCAACGCCAGGCGCCCCAGAGGGAGTGAACCTAACAGGTAACGATCCCACGATCACTGTCCAAACAGCGGCTAGGGACACCTCCCTCACCCCGCCTGGCTAATAGCCATGAATGGGCTTAGCCGCCATGAATTTATCCAGTTCGCTCTTAAACCCTGTGCTAGTCTTGGCCTTCGCCACCTCCTCCGGCGAGGAGTTCCCCAGGTCGCTGGGTGAAGAACCACCTGCTGCCGGTCCCGTCATTGGGTGGCCCCCAGTGCCTGTGTGATGGGAACAAGTAAATCACGTTCCCCGACTCCCTTTCGCCAAACCCCGCAGGTCCCCCTCAGCCGCCTCTTCCCCAGGCTGGAAAGTCCCGGGCTCGTTAATCCCGCCTCACGCGGGACCCGGTCCGGGGGGGCAGGGGGCGGGGTCCGGTCCGGGGCGGGACCGGACAGGACCGGGGGGGCTCCCGAGCTCTCACCGGGACGCGATCCGGGTATTTCTTGCGGATCTTCTCGCCCTCGCAGCGGCGCCGCTCGAAGGGCTGCTCCTCCTTGTACAGGAACTTCATGGCTGCGCTGCTGCCTGCGCCGCCTGCGTAAGCACCGCCCGGACTGCGCCGCTGGCGTAAGCGCCGCCCGCCCGCCCTGCGTCAGCTGCCTGCGCCGCCGGCGTAACCGCCGCCCGCCTGCGCCGCTGGCGTAACCGCCGCCCGCCCTGCGTCAGCTCCCTGCGCCGCCCAAACCGTCTCGCTGGCGCGCGCCACTAGCGTGACCACCGCCTCCACCTACGCCCCTAGCGTAACTGTCGGTTTCTTTCACGGCCTCGCAAATACGCCACTGGCGTAAAAGGGGCGAGCTTCCCCCGCCCCCATTTTCCCGGGGTTACGAAAAGGGCGTAAGTCCCGCTTCCGTCTGACTCATTCCCCGCTGCCGGACTGGGCGGGGCGGGGCTACGCTACAGGCGCAGGCCAGGCATTTCTCCACGTCCCCGGACACCCCACAGCTGCGATTCACAGAGCCCCACGTAGCACTTTGACACCAACACAAAATAGTGCGGAAGGGAGAAAGGGAGGCGCGGCCAATACGGGGGGAGGGGCCGGGCCTCGAGGGAGAGGGGAAGGGGGGGGCGGGAGGGGGCGTGTCACGGCCGCAGAGGGCGGGGGGAGAGCCCGAAACAGGACTGCGGAAGGATAATGTGTCATGTGATGAACGTCACTCAGCGAGTCTGGTCACGTGCCCGCCGGGAAGAAGATCCGGCCGGGAGGAGGCTGAGAAACAGGGGGAGGCCCCGTGACCGAGGAGGGGGTGCGGCGTGAGAGGGGGAGAGACCAATGGGAAGGGAGGAACCATGTAAGGGGCCCAGGGGAAGGCGCAGCGGATGGAAGAGACCAAGAGGAGAGGGGGGAACAGCCGTCTGTGCGGGAGGGTCCAATACCGGTGAGAGGGGGGCTGGGAGCCAGGACTCCTGGGTTCTCTCCCCGGCTCTGG